CCCGCCCCTGGCCACTCCAGCTTAGAGAGGAGGATAGATGCTTTATGCAGCTCAGATTCAGGGATTGTTCTTTTGTTTTGAGTCAGGGTCTTACTACGCACCTCCAGAATGCTGGGATTACAGGCATGCACTACCACACTCAGCTAAATTCAGAGAATTGATTACAAAAAGAAGGGAACCATTACCCTGTCACTCCCACAGTACTCAGCCTACCCACTCTTGCTGTATTCCCAGTAGGCTATGCAGGCAAAGATGATATTGTCTGTTTTCATTCCTGATGGTAGATAATAGGTTAGATAAACTTAGTTTATATGTAAAATGTGACACATAGTACTTCACACTTTAGCTTTGTTAAACTTTGATGTTACTGTAGTTATGCAATTCTTCTGTTTCTCCCCATCTGTAGGCACGTCAGCTCTTTAAAGAGCTTTACATCGACCCATCAAAAGTTCATAACTTGTTGCAGTTGGGGTTCACTGCCCAGGAAGCCCGGCTTGGCCTGCGGGCCTGTGATGGGAACGTGGACCATGCAGCCACTCACATTTCCAACCGCAGAGAGGTAGTTCTCCACTTGTTGCTAGCATCCTGGAGGCCCGGGCCCAGAGGAGGTTATGAAACTGAGACAGAGAATCCCAGAAGAGGTGTGACTAAGAAGGTGCACACCACTCCGGATCAGGGAGGAGGGACTGGTGGTCTTCCCTTTTTGTGAGACAAGGTCTCATGTAGCCCAGATTGGCCTCCAACTTGCTAGGTAGCCTAGGGTGACCTCAAGCTTCCGGTCCTCCTTGCCTCTACCTCCTGAGTTCTGAGATTACTGGTGTTGGCCACTGTACCCAGTTTTATGCAGTGCTGGGATGAAACCCAGGGCTTCATGCCACCTAGGCATGCTGTCAACAGAGTACAGCCCTGCCTAGATCACCTTAATTACATCAGCATTAGAGCAGTGCAGCTTCCTGCCCTGATACCAGGTTATGCAAGCAGTCTTCCTCTGTCTCTCTCAACACCATCGTGTGATTGTGGAAATCATTTTAAAGAAGGCCATTATGATAGTTTAGGATTGCCTTCCTGCCTAGAAATGTGTCAAACCATAGAAGCTGCTTTAAAAGCTGCAGTCATTTGTCACAAATACATGAAGGAAAGCTTTTGAATTCTGAGTTTGGAAGGACAGGGCGTTGTCACCCCCAGTGTGAGTTGTACAGCAGAGCACCAGAGAGCCGGTGTCGCAATCTTAGCTCCAGAGCAACGTCCCTTCCTCCAGACTAGAAGCTGCCTCTAGATTTCCAGAGAACTTCCCAGAGAAACTTTTCATGCATGGATCCTGTTCCCCTTTTTGCTGAACACCAGGGTAATCCTGACACCCAGCAACCTGCGGGACATGGAAGGGACAGGAAAGGGCACTGGTTGTCCTATCTGGCCCCAGGTCAGTTGGGTGGTAACCAGTCAAAAGGGCTATCCACAGGTCTCCTGCAACAGTTTGTGTTTGACTGCTCTCCCCGTCAGTCCCTGGGCCTCACTGCAGGAATCAGGGATAGGTAGGGTGAAGTTCACACTGAGTATGCCAGGTTCAATACAATAGAAAGCAAGCCTTGAAGACACTGGACTCCTCCTCTGATAAGATTTCATTAGCATTTGGAAAGATGTGTTTTCAAGTGATTTGTTTGAAAACATTGTTTTAATACTTTTTAAAGCCCATAAGACATTTTCCTGATTGTGATGTGATTCAGTTCCTCCTGTGACTACCTGTGCGGCCAAAGGCACAGATGATTCTCATTTTACAAATAAGGAAACTGGCTCCGAAACTGACTTTTAAAGTATTGTGGAGGGCAGGTGAGGTGGCTCAGCTGATGAGGGCACACACTGATGACCTGAGTTCAATCTCCAGAGCCCACATGATGGAAGGGGAGAACTGACTCCTGCAGGCCATCCCCTGACCTTCACACTTGTGCTGAGGCCAGGAAAGTGTGGCAGGAGATTCAGTCTTACTGTATGGGCTGAGACTACACAAAGCCCACCTGGGGAACTAGATCAGCCTCCCATCCTGGAGAGGGCAGACGATGTTGGGAAGGCAATCCCAGTATCCCAAAGATGTACTCCCATGGGATCTTCAAGTGTGAGGTGGAGCTGCTGCCCCTCTATTCTAACAGCTTTGGGTTTGAGTCTCACAGAATAGAACGGACCAGGTCTTTTTTTTTCTCCTGATGCTAAGGATGGAACTCAGTCTCACCTATGCCAGGGTGAGTAGTGCTCTGAGCCCCCTAGGTATGAATCCCTGAGTAGGTCATTCAGAGTCTAGACTGTTCTTCTACCAGGTGGGAAGCTCTTCTGCCATCCCTCTGGAGGGTCCAGCACTGCACTGAGAACATGCCATTTCCCATGCTGAATGGGCTTGTGAGGTACTGACCTTAGCAGCTGTGTCCCCGGGCTTTGTGCCTCCTGCCATTTGTATGGGTAGAGAGGGGTCCCCTCTTCTGTTTGGTTGTTTATCCAGCCTGGAGATCTTGCCTGAGAGCGTCCTGCCTAGAGGAACTTGTTTTCCTTCTAACTTCTAACTGAGAGGAACTTACTTTCCTAAAGGAACTGGCTCAAATAAGGAAGGAAGAGAGGGAGAAGCGGAGACGCCGCCTGGAGAGCATCAACTCCTTGAAAGGAATGGGCTACTCCACACATGTGGCCAAGCAGGCCCTCCACCAGGCAAGAGGCAACCTGGATGACGCCCTGAAGGTAGTGCTTCCCGGATGTCTCCTGGCCAGCCTCCAGCTCACTCTACTTCCACAGCTTTCCCCCAAGTCCTTGTATTGGGGGTTGGGGGTGGGAGGTGGTGTTCCAACCCCACTGTCCTCCAGCAGAGCCAGAGAGATGGGCCCAAATGCTTGGCCTGGGGACAAGGCCCCTGCTCATACTAGCAGTCAGAAGTCAGGCCCTGGATGGGGCTTCATTTGCACCAGAGATTAGGTCAGTGTAGTCACTTTCCAATGTGAAGAAGAGAATGGCATTTCAGTGTAAGCTCTGGGGGTACAGTGCTTATTTGCATATGAAGAGAGTCCCCAGAGACCAGAGTAGTGGCTTTCTCTAGCCCTCTCCTGCAGGTCTTTGCTCTAGAGGCAGAATAAGCACTGTGCTGTATATCGGCTGCTTGGTATAGGAGACCTTTGCCCTTGGGGCACCCACAGATCACGGGGAGAGAGACAAGACCCATGGGGATGACATGGGAGTTGTTCTGAGAGCTGCCCTTTGGGCAGGGGACAGTGTTGGCCTGGAGCTCTTCGGCTGGGGAATTTGGCTAGTGATGAGGGGGCCACACAAGTCAATACCATCTCCTTCCCCTTTGCCATGGTCGCTGGGCAACAGAGCCCATCCTGCACACACCTTACATCTCCATCCCCCGCCTCAGAAAATCTCACGTATTAGTGTTTTTATTGTTGTACTTTCAATTAAAATGACAATTTGGCCAGGCATGGTCTCACATACCTTTATAATCCCAGCACTCAGGAAGCAGAAACAAGAGGATTTCTGAGACTTGAGGCCAGCTTGGTCTCCACAGTGGGTTCCAGGCCAGCTGGGGCTACAGGACAACCTTGTCTCAAAAACAAACAAAAAAAAAATTGGGTGGAGACACCTAAGGAATGACACCCAAGATTGACCTCTGGCCTCTACACACAGTAGCATATGTGCATATGCACCCCCCCCATGTTTATACATACAAAAAAATTAGGACATAAATATATTCAGCTACTGTCAAAGTATTTAATGTAAGAAGGGAAATTTCCCCCAAAGTTTTCAAGTTTAGTGGCAAGTGTAATGAACCTGGAGATCAAAGCCATGTCTGGAAGATCAACACCTTCACAAGCTAGGAGACCTTCTGTCTGCTCTGCTGAGACCCCTCCCGTCCCCAGTTGAGCTCTGACACACTTGGTCTCCCGCCTGCCTGGAGAGTGGACTTCTGCCTGCTCTCTACCCTCACCTGAGTACTGCCCTCCTTGGACACCACCTGTCAGCTCAAGCCCCTCTCCTGCTTCATAGTGCTCCCTGCACAGCCTATGGCCGTGTCCTGTGCTCATCTGTCCCACAAGTGGGCAGGTAGACTGTGTGCCTGCATGTGAGGGATGTCAGTCTGAGTAAAGGGTAGCCCTGTGCTTTCAGATTCTCCTCAGTAACCCCCACATGTGGTGGCTCCAGGATTCAGACCCTGAAAGCAACAGCCGTCAAGCAAGCCCTTCCCAGGAAAGCATCGACCAGGTGAGTGACAGGCAGGCACTGAGTTCACCTTGGGCTGGCTAGGACGAGTAGGACAGTGGCAGGGCAGGGTGGGTCTGCTCCTAGGTTACAAGCAGGGCTTCCTAGCCCTGAGAGGGCCTTAGGCACACAAAGTGGGGGTGGGGGTGGAACAGGATGCACTTCTGTAGGCAGGAAAGGGCTGGGCAGAGTGACGCATGTTTTAATCCCAGTATTCAGAAGGCAGAGATGAGTGGGTCTTTGTAAATTCTAGGCCAAACAGGTCTATATAGTGAGACCCTCCCTCAAAACAAACAGGAAAGAACACAGGAGGAAAGACCTAAATGAGGCAAGAGGCTGTCTCACTCCGTTTACATGTGTCCCACTTCTCTGCTTAGGGCTCAGAAGGATGTCACTGTGTCCCGAGAGATACTCTGTCCATACTTGTCCCCACACATTAGTGTGCCTCACATACTGTGGCCAGTTAACTTGTAGCGCTCATGGTTATATTTGCATAATACTTGATCTTAGCCCAGGACCTGTTGTACCTGGGTCCTGGTGGTGCCCTGTGGTGACGGGAACATGGGCATGGCAGTCCACATGGCAAGGTGAACTAAGCTTGTGGTCACAGCCTGCCCTGTGATCTCTCCTAGCTGGTGTACATGGGTTTTGACACAGTGGTGGCTGAAACTGCGCTGAGGGTGTTTGGAGGCAACGTCCAGCTGGCAGCTCAGACCCTTGCACACCATGGAGGAAGCCTTCCCCCTGATCTGCAGCTCTCAGGAGAGGACTCCTCGTCTACGCCATCCACGTCCCCTTCTGACTCTGCAGGTAGGTCTGAGGGCTGAATATGCTGACAGCTGTGCTCTGCTGAGTCTGAGCTGATGGACCAGGGGTGGGCCTAAGGCACAAGCTAAGCTGGAGGCTGAGGGGGGGGTCCCCTGCCAGGATGGGGTGGTATAGGGAGCACAGTCAGAGGGCGACTCTCCTGTAACCTACGGTTTCACTGCAGGTACCTCTAGTGCCTCAACAGACGAAGACATGGAGACAGAGGCTGTCAATGAAATCCTGGAAGACATCCCCGAGCATGAGGAAGACTATCTGGACTCAACTCTGGAAGATGAAGAGATTATTATTGCTGAGTACCTGTCCTATGTAGAAAATATAAAGTCCACCACAAAGAACTAAACAGATAAACCCTACAGCTCTGCTTGTAAACTGTCACTGAACAGTTGAATGCTGTGTTCTTTGTGCTCCTCCTGCTTCTCCTTGATTCTGCTCCATGGGCCTCTCCTCAGGTGCAGTGACGCAGCATGGTGAAAAGACTTGCTGGCAGAGGACAGTCAGGAAAGGGCTTCCCGGGCCTGGTTCTGCTGCTCCCTTTCTGCCTCGGCTGCACTCCTAACTGCCACTTGCTGGTTTTCCATCCTGAACTGGGAAGCAGGCTCTCTGGTGGAGGCAGGGTGGCCCCTGGGGAAGGTGTCTAGGGAAACATGTGGGGCCTGTCTGTCTCACTCAGCCTCCCTTGTGCAGTTTTCCTCCCGTACCTGCTGCTCAGACTCCTTCCCACCCACCTGTGTGCGCTCAGCTCGGCCCTCACTGCCCTGTACTCCCCCTTTTAAATCTCCATTCCTAGTGCTATGGGAACATAATGCTGTCACCAGACCAAATGGTGGTAGATATCTTGATCTCGAAATGTCAATATTGTGTGCTCTTAGATCAGTAAAATATGTACTTCAAATTCAAGATTGCAAATCAGTTTACATGAATTCTAAATTCCTCATGCAAAATGAAAAAAATCTTTTATTAAATGGAAAAGTTTTAAATGCTTACCAAAGCAATTTATTTTTAATTACTATTTCCAGACTGCTGTCCTAGAATTACATTTATTTATATTTGTGTGTGTATGTGTGGGAGCATACAAGTGGAGTACACATGCCACAGAGTACGTGTAGAGGTCAGGAGTTGGTTCTCTTCTTTCACCATGTGGGTATGAGGGATCAAACTCAGGTCATCAGTCTTGGTGGCAAGCCCCTTTACCCACTAAGCCTTCTTGCTGGCCCTCTTGTATTTTTTTAAACTTTTCAATTTTTTGGGGTGGGGGTTCTTTTTGAGACAGGGTCTCCCTGTAGCCCAAGCTGTCCTGGAACCCACTATGTAGATCAGGCTGGCCTTGAACTCACAGAGCTCTGCCTGCCTCTGCCTCCCAAGTGCTGGAATTAAAGGCATGTGCCACCATGCCTGGCTTAATTTTTCAGTATTTTTTATGAGCATTTGCCTGCATGCGTTTAAGTGTACCATATGCATGCAGTATCTGCAGAAGCCAGGAGTGTTGAACTCTCTGGAACTAGAGCTACAGATGTTGATGGTTGTTAGTTGCCAAGGAACTGAACCTTGGTCTTCTACAGCCAGTGCTCTTAACTGCTGAGCCATCTCCGCCCTGTTTTTTTTTTTTTTTAAGACAGGGTCTCACTTTGTAGCCCCAGCTCACTTAGAACTTACTAGGTAGATCAGGCAGGCCTTAGACCCAAAGATCCATCTGCCTCTGCCTCGAATGCTGGGATTAACGGGGCGCACCACCACACCAGGCTTTCTCTTGCTATTCTTTTAAAGTGGGTGATGTGGGTAGAAAAAAAAGTGGAAAACACAGTTGGGAAGCAGTGGAGTAGTGCCCTCAAGTAGCAGGGGGCAGAGGCCAGGAAGAACTCTGGTGCAGCACTTGTCAGGCCCACATGAGTCCCTGGGTTCCACCTCCAGAATCAGTAGATGCTGCTGAGAAGGGCATGTATAAAAGACAGGGTTTGGGTTTGACCAGGGAGGAGCACGTCTCAGCAAGAGGGTGTGAAGCAGGCCACCAGAGTTCGTCCTCAGAAGAGTAGCCAGCTGAGCTGAAGGGAACCCTGCCTCAAAGCCCCTAGCTAACTAGGCCCCATCCTGGGCATGGAGCAGGCCCTGCCAGTCTGCTTCTGGCTTTCCAACAGTTTAAATGCTAATCGAGAAGACCAAAAGCCAGGGTGGCACAGCTATGTCAGCAGGTCCTGACTGTACATGTCCACCTGCAGAGATGGCCAGTGTGGGGATGGACTGTAGCGGAGGGAGCTGAAACTGGAAGAGTTAGAGGCTACAGGGTGAGGTATGAGAGGTATTCTCCTTAGAGAACGGTCTATATATACCAAGAGGTGTATTGGAGGAATCAAGGTGAAGGGTGGTCATGTCTATCAACCCTGAAGGGCAGGTGGGGACTTGAGGGACATGGCAGGACACACATGGCAGGGCAGGTTAGAGGACCTGTATGGGGTGATGTCAGCCTGAAGCTGTGCAGCTGTGCTGGGTGTCTGATGCTGACCATGTCTCTTGTCAAATTGTCTTGCCCTGATAAAATCAGCATACCCTGTCTGTTCTCCTGGCCAAGTATCTGGTAGAAAGTTTCTGTCCTTCCTCTGGCCAGATGAACAGATTGTTCACAGGCAGACAGCTGCTTTCTTCCTCTCAAGTGCTAAACAAGCACTCTTACCATTGCATTACACCGGTCCTGGTGTGGCCAGAGGTGACCAGGTCTGACCAGAGTGTCCAACAGTAGCACACATAAACATCTCTCAGGTCCTGGCACCAGAGGGAAGGGATGTCAGGCATCCTCATGTCCTCACACCAAGGTCTCTTTGCCACGGAAATAAACTCTACCAATGAGTTGTGCTAAATGAGTGCAAAGTGTGGTTTCATGAGAAAGCACACACAGCATTTCCCATCACAGGCTTCACCCTGGCTATCCCTCTGGGTAGACGGCAGCCCATGTACCTTGCTGGGATCAGGTGAGGACCTGAGATGCCTAGTACGCATCACCTGGCAGCATCAGTGAGCGCTGCCTGGGATGATGGGAACACCCAGTGCTCAGGACCTGACCATCCGCGCAAGATGCTAGTGTATTGCCAGCTTTAGATTTAGAATCATCTGAGAGACACATATCTCTTCAGATAGGATGGACTGCGGTGGAAAGACCCACTTGAATGTGGGCAGTGCTGTCCCATGAACTGAGATCTTGGACTAAAAGTGGGACAGCGACCTGAGAGCGGACTTCCACCAAGATGCCAGCAAGCAGGTGCAAGGTTCCTGCTGCCACGAAGCCCCTGCCCGTCCCTCCACCCCACAGTGAGCTGTGTCCCCACAAATTGCCAGCCAAATTGACCCCTCCCTTAAGTTTTCTTTATATATTTGGGGCTAGAATGCCATAGCAGGCATATGGAGGTCAGAGGACCACTTGTAGTAGTTGGTCCTCTCGTGGATTCGGGTGATCAAACTAAGGTCATCAGGCTTGGTGGCAAGCACCCTTACCAGGTATCTCACTAGGCCCTACCTTTTTTTAAGGTAGGTAGTCCTTTTTTTGAGTTTCTTGTAGTCCATGTTGGCCTTGAACTTGTGTATAGTTAAGACTGACCTTGACCTCCTAGTCCTCCTGTCTCAGCCACCCAAGTGATGGGATCACAGGCATGAGCCACCACACCAGACCTTGCTCCTTGTCAGGTATCTGTTCACAGCAATGAGAAAGGTCATTGACACAGCATCCCCCTCCTGTCCTCAAAGGCCTGGGCAAAGTAGAGAACAGGTGGGATGTGCTGGGGCCACAGGCCTTGCCAGGGAAACACTCTGAGCTTTGAGAAATGAGGCATATGGTCCAGTCCCTCACAGGCTTCCCTCTGCGGTGAGGTGCTGGGTCCTTAGTGTCGGACACTGTGGTCTGCAGCCTCTCTACACCAGCGCCAAGCACAGGGTACTGTGGATGCAGGATGTGGCACCACACAGGAGCTGAAAAGTGCCCCCTTCAAGTGGGGCCAGAACACTGAGGGAGGCGCCTGGCTGGCTCCCCACACAGCCCGAGTCCCCATCTTTCCTGCAGCCCCTTCTGGCAGGGCTAGGGCTCCCTCTCAGGAACTACAGTGGCTCTCAAGGTTTTTTTTATGTGTCTGTGTGGGTGTGTGCATGAGAGCAGGTGCCCGTGGAGACCAGAAGAGTATTGATCTCCTGGAGCTGGTGTTACAGGTAGTTGTAAGCCACCTGATATAGATGCTGGGAACCAAACCTGGGTCCTCTGCAAGGGCACCTACTGCCATGTTGCCAGTCTTCAGTGGCTCCTGTCTATGTTGAATGCCTACCCCACACCTGGCACAGTGCTGCTCCTCCGCCCAAGGCCAGCGAGCTGCTGCCCAGCTGCCCTGCTCCAGACTTATGGGAAGAAACCTCTGGATTCACGGCCAAAAATGGGTTCCCTGAAGCAGGAGTCCCAGTGTCAACAGTGGGTTCCTTGTTCCCTGGTGGCTCCCATGGCCACACCCATATGAATGACCTTGGTTGACAGCCCCTCAGTCAGAAAAGGTGGCTCAGACCAGGTGTGGGAGGCACAGGTGGGGCAGGAGGCTAATGGGCCTCCAAAATGAAGACTCCGTTTGCAGAACAAAATCGGACACTCAGCATTTTGAGTGACATGTATTTGAGCTCTTCAGGTGAGTCCTCATGGCACAGGAGTTTCCAGTATCACAATCTGGCTCTGTGGCTTTTGTAAAGTCCCATTTCCTCTGAGTAGGAATGGCCTTCAGCCTCTGGAACTGGAAGCAGGCAGGCTGAAGCCAGAGTTGGCTAGGAGAGTCCCACAAAGGCCAGGTGGCAAGGCCTGGGCTGAGGGGATGGGGAGGAAGAGGAGCCTCCCTCTACCTACCACAGGCCACTGAAATCACAGAATGCTTGGAAAAGTCCAAAAATGTGTTGAAACTGAAGCTGGGCCACGAGCCTCGCCAATCTCCTTTCCAGACAGCTCAGGCTGGCTGCAGGGGCACCGGGGCTGCGCAGGCCACCTTGTTGCTAAAGAGACGGGACAGACTGCGCTTGGGTGCTGGCCTGCGTGGCGAGGGTGACGGGGACTGGAGGCCACTCACATCCCAGAGGCGCAGCACACCGTCATGAGATGCCGTGTAGAGCACCTGGCCATGCACCTGTGGGCAGGCAGGGCAGCAGTCAGCCATGGGCAGGCCACTGGGGCCTCCGCCTATGGGAGGCCCTTTGCTTCCCTGGAGCAGTAGGGCCCAGGAGCTGGGTAGAGGGAGGCCTACCTGGAGGCAGTTGATAACAAAGGTGTGGCCTCGGAACACCCTCTGCAGCACTCCCGACTGGGCGTCGAAGGCCCTGGCGCAGGCATCCCCACTGCCTGTGAACACTGTGGACATAGAGCAGCGTGCTGGGCTTCCTGTTATCACCCTACCATCTTCTTCCCAAGTACATAGCAGGACAACTGTGGTGTGACCTCCACCTACATCCTAGAGACATCCTAAGGTTCAGGTGGGACATTCTGTAGAATGGAACCCAGGCTGTCTCAGTCCCATGGGGTGAGGAAGGACAGAGGGCCCCAGGTTCCCCCTGTTCTATAGATGTTCTTTGCATAGACTGTGGCCGCCATGCCGTCCTCAAATTCAGCCCTGTATCCCCTGAGTGACTCTCTCAAGGGCCTCCTGGGGCCAGGTGACCATGCTTATGCCCTGTTGGGTAAAGCAGACTTCTGTGCCTCATGGTTTTAAGGCAATCACCACATCCTGCCCAACCACCTGTGCCCACAGGACCAGCCAGAACCCGCCATCCCTCCTTAGAAAGGGACACGGCCTTGAAGCAGATTCCGGACTCTCTGGGGCTCACCCGCACCCCATCTGATGCCCTCCATGAGGTGTTCCTTGATCATAACTTAGTCCAATGGTGCTTAAGCATCAAGGCACTAGAATCCCTGGAGTACTTGCTACGACAGATGGCTGAGTGCCACTCTGTGGTTTCTGATGCAGCAAGGGGGCCTGACCTGAGACTCCATTTTAACCAGCGCTGGTGAAGCTAGTGATGAGGGGCCACCTGGAGTAGGCTGACCAAGGGGGCTCACTGGATCACTTTATATGCTGACTATAAGGTGTCCCCTGACTGTGAGATAGGCCAGCAGTTCATGTGGCAGACACTGCAGGAAGCAGGGAAGTGGAAGGGGAGGTATGGGAAGGAAACCATACAGGGCATGTTAGTAAGCAGAGAACTGGAGGCAGCTAGGGACCAGCGGGCAGGAGAGATTCCAAGTCCAGTTGGGAGACAAGGACACCAGACCATGTACCCATTAACTTGACTGGTGAGGTGCTCCTGAGTGTCAAGTTCCCAGGAGCCCTGTACTGGGTAGTTTTAAAGGTCAACTTGACAACCTAGACTCCATTGGGAAGAGTCTCAATAAGGGATTGTCTAGATCAGGGTGGCCTGCCTATGGGCAATTGTCTGAATTGGTTTGTGGTGATTGTTCATTGTTTTATGTATATGAGCATTTTGTCTGCATGTAAGTGTACTATGTGTACAATGCCTGCAGAGGTCAGAAGAGGGAGTTGGATCCCTTGGAAATGGAGTTACAGGTGGAGTTATAGGTGAAGTTACAGCCTATGCCTTGAGACAGGAAGACACACCCTGAATGTGGGCAGCACCATTTCATGGGCTGGGCCCTGGACCGTGTAAGAGTAGAGAAGGCTTTGGGGCTGGAGAGATGGCTCAGCAGCTGAGAGCACTGGCTGCTCTTGCAGAGGACCCAGGTTTGATTCCCAGCACCCACATGGCGGCTAAGGGCCATCCTTGGCTCCAGTTCCAGGGGAATCTGAAGCCCTCTTCTGACCTCCGTGGCATTGCACGACACGGGTGCGCTCACATACGTGCAGGCAATATACTCATATACATAAAAAATAAAAATAATAAAATATCAAAAAAAAGAGTAGAGAAGCCTAGCAGAGTGGACGCAGCAAGCAGGAGACATGGGTGCAGTCCTGTCTCTCCGCTCTTGACTGAATGTGTTGTGACCTGCTGTCTCGAGGTTCTGCCACAATGACTTCCCCACAGTGACAGACTGGCACCTGGAACTGTGAGGCCAATGACCCCATCCTCCACTACGCTGCTTTTTGTTGGGGTACTTGTCACAGCAACAGGAATAAAATTGGGAGGAGTCTGAAGGGGTACTACAGCAGGACCCCTCCTGAGACGGTGGCTCCCCAGCAACCCTCACTTGTCACTCTGGGCCTGGCTAAAGCCGACGAGCATCTCTAGGTTGGCTCCCTGGTCTTTGGTGTCTATTTCTTACCCTTTCCTGCCTTCGCCTGTGCATACTCCACCTTTTTTTGTTTTTTTTGTTTGTTTGTTTTGTTTGAGACAGGGTCTCTCTGTAGCCCCCGCTGTCCTGGAACTCACTATGTAGACCAAGCTGGCCTCGGACTCACAAAGATCCACATGCCTCTGCCTCCCAAGTGCTGGGATTAAAGGTGTGCGCCACCACGCCCGGCTCTCCACCTTTTCTCAAAGCTTGCAGGTGCACATGGCCCTGGGGAGGAGGCTTCCTTGCTGGGTTTCCTCAATTCCTTCTTTGCCTCCCTCTAAACTTGGCAACAAGGCCCAGAATCCCCATGGGGCTGCTAGGCAACAGGAGAAGCCCACAGGATATGACCACAGCACAGCCAAGCCAGCTGCCGCCACGGGGAGGGAATGCAGGAGAGCACCAGGAAGTCTGAGCGCTAACCACCCTGTGCTATCAGAGAGAGAGGGTCCCGACTAGGGAGCAGAGCTCTCATCACCTGGCAGGCTTGGACACAACAGCAAGGAAAAAGTAACTTCTCCAGGTCAGGCCTCAGTCCCTAGAGCACCTTGGGCTCTGATATCCATTCTGTCTTCACCCACTACCTTCACATGAGATCAAGTTCATTTCCACTGTGACTCTGCCCTTCCCTCTCCTAGGAAAACACTCTTAGGACCAACCCTATGGGAGATGGTTACTGCTCCTGTCATGGACAGGAGTGGGCAGGGACATGGCCAACAGTGAAGCTGTGGAGAAGGTCCAGGAAAGAACTGGGCACCTGGAAGCCTCCCACAGCACGTGTGGTGAGGACCGGGCTCCTTCCCTGCACTGGCTGCTTTCTGAGTACGTCTGGGGTATCAACATGTGTTGAGCCAGGTGGACAGAACCAGTAAGGCCCAGATGTGTGACCATTTGGGACCTGGGGGACAGAAGGCTTTCTCCCTACCCAACAAACTGGATTCAGCCTGTCCTGCACACAGAGAGGGTTGGAGCTGCCAGTGGAAGGTTTGGATGCAGTTTCCAAAGGGGTCTACTCAGCTTGAAAATGCGTCCCTTTGCTCTTCTGCCTGCCTGCCTAAAACACGACACATGATGGCTGGTGCTCGAGCAGCTGTCTTAAACCATGCTCCTCCGCTAAAGACAGAAGACATGTGCTAGGGAGGAAGAAGCACACAGAAGGAGCTGTGTTCCCATGACTATGGGCCATCAATTCCAGCCTAAACTGCCAGCCTCTGAAAGTGTTTGACCTGAGCAAAAAAAAATCAACCACATTATTACATCCTTTGTTACCTAGATCTTACCAAGTGAGGCCAAACCTGTGGGCCCTCTGGGGGACACCATTGTCTCACCTGGAGAATTAGAATGTGGCCCAGTGATGGGCTTTTGACTCTAGAACCCTGAGCATTCAATCTCCCACGTTCTGTAACACTGGGGAGGAGCCTGCAATCCCCTACTTGGACCTTCTTTGCATCAAAGCTCCCAGACAGGTGCATGGAGTGACCAGTACCATCTTAGGGTGCCATGGAAACTGAAACAGCTCGGCTTAGTCAATGAGGGCATAAGAGAGGCAGAAGGGACCAATTGGGAGTGGGGAGGTAAGATGGCCAGGCTAGGATGGAGTGGGGAAGTGCTGGGGCAAGTCACTTACAGGTGCCTGCGTGGTACTTGAGGGTGCTCACGCTGTGCCTGTGTGCCGGGAACGTGCGCACCCGCTCCCCAGTGTCTGCCAGCCAACACTTGACTGTCCTGTCAGCACTGCCCGAATACAACAGCCGGTCCACCAGCTGCAGGAGAAGAGGGAGGGTCAGCCCACCACTGCAATGCTGGCTTTGATGGCTGGATAGCCCTCAAATCTTTCTACAAAGGGGGAAATGCTATGTACAGGGACAAAACCCCAACTCCAGACAGCCCTGTAGATCCCAGGCAGAGCCCTGCAGAACTTGACAGGGCCCACAGACTTAGACAGAGCCTCCCCTCACTGACTGCCCCTCCACAGGCTCACTGGTAAAGCCTTGGTCTGAAGCAGAAGGTACTACTGAGAGGTAGCAGAGCCTCTAGGAGAGTCGGGGACCCTACACACTAGGAGACTTCATTCCTTTTGAACTTGGGTCATCACTTGGAAGCCTTGTCACAAATTGACAAGCTCAGCTCCCAAACACAGGTCCTCTGCTTATCAACCATCCTTACACACAGCACTGCACTCCAGTGCTCCTGAAGAGTGGGGGACACTGGGCCATGCTCCAGGTGATGGGTGCTCAAGAACGTGAATGTGCAACCCTAAAATGGCAGCACAGGAAGTACATGCAGACCCTCTCCACTCTCCCAAAAGCTGAAAAAGCCCCTGTCCTTAGGGAAAAAACAAGCTTCTTACCAGCAGAGACAGGAGTCCAGGCCTAGGAGATGCATACAAACAGGCCTTAGGGGTTTTTGTGTTTTCACTTTTCACTTGTTTAGTATGTGTATATGTATGTGAGCACATGTTCCTATGGGTAGACATTGTGTGTGCCTGACATCCTTACTCAGGTGCCATCCACCTGTTTTTTGAGACAGTCTGTTACTGAGACCTGAGCCCACTGATTAGGTTAAGTTCTCTGGCCAGTGAGCCCCAGAGAACCACCCCGGGACTGCAGGTGCATGCCATCACATCCAGCTTTTCTATATGGGTGCTGGAGGTGGAACTCAGGTTCTTATGCTATGTAGCATGTACTTTACAGCCTGAGCTATCTCTCAGCCCCATTTGCTTTTTTTTTTTTTTTTTGGTCTTTTTGAGACAGGGTCTCCCTGCAGCCCCAGCTGTCCTGGAACTCACTATGTAGACCAGGCTGGCCTTGAACTCACAGAGATCCGCCTGCCTCTGCCTCCCAAGTGCTGGGACTACAGGCGTGCGCCACCACACCCGGCCCTATTTGTTTTTTAAGACAGGATCTTACTATGTAGCCCAGGCCAGCCTCAAATTCCTACCTTACATCCAGAGCACTAGGATTATAGGCATACACAAATGCACTCAACTCAAACAGGTCTTGCTGGAGTTCCCTTTTCCGCCTGATCACGCACCACCTGCCCTCCCTCAACCCCTCTATCTGGACACATGTTCATAATGTATTCTACCTCATCCAAATGTATTCATTTTCCTGGCAAAGTCTGCCCTTCTGAGGTCTGAATGTGTCTCTTCAAAAGTACAGGATGAACACTTGGGTTCCAGTGCAAGAGTGCTGGTATGGGCCTCTAACAGAAGCTGTGTAGACCATGAGGACTATGCCCACTCAACATGTGAATAGATTGATGCTATGGATGGATAGAATAATGCTATAAACCTAATGAAGCTATGGATGGATTGACTGATGCTGTGGATGGACTGATGCTATGGATGGATTGATGTTGTGAAAGGATTGACTGATGCTATCGATGAACTGATGCTACGGATGGATTGATGCTATGAATGGATGGACTGATGGCACGGATGAGCTGATGCTATGAACGGATGGACTGATGCTATAAATAGATTCATTGATGATAAGCATGGATGGCCTGATGCTATGGATGAATGGTCTGAAGCTATGGACGGATTAATGCTATGAATGGATGGACTGATGCTATGGATGGATGGACAGATGCTATGGATGGACTGACTGATGCTATGGGTGAACTGATGATATAAATGGATTCACTGATGATAGGCATGGATGGCCTGATGCTATGGATGAATGGTCTGATGCTATGGACAGATTGATGCTATGAATGGATAAACTGATGCTATGGATGGACTGATGCTGTAAATGGATGAACTGATGCAATGAATGGATTGAGGCTATGATGGGCGGGCTGAGGCTATGAATGGTTGGACTGAAGCTATAAGTGGATTGATGCTATAAATGGATGGACTAATGCTATGAATGGAATGATGTTATGGGTGGATTGATGCTATGGATTGATTGGTGCTATGAATAGATGGACTGATGCTATCTATGTATGGCTTGATGCTATGAATGGATGGATTGATGCTTTAGATAGACTGATGCTATGGATGGATTGATGTTGTGAAAGGATTGACTGATGCTATCGATGAACTGATGCTACGGATGGATTGATGCTATGAATGGATGGACTGATGGCACGGATGAGCTGATGCTATGAACGGATGGACTGATGCTATAAATAGATTCATTGATGATAAGCATGGATGGCCTGATGCTATGGATGAATGGTCTGAAGCTATGGACGGATTAATGCTATGAATGGATGGACTGATGCTATGGATGGATGGACAGATGCTATGGATGGACTGACTGATGCTATGGGTGAACTGATGATATAAATGGATTCACTGATGATAGGCATGGATGGCCTGATGCTATGGATGAATGGTCTGATGCTATGGACAGATTGATGCTATGAATGGATAAACTGATGCTATGGATGGACTGATGCTGTAAATGGATGAACTGATGCAATGAATGGATTGAGGCTATGATGGGCGGGCTGAGGCTATGAATGGTTGGACTGAAGCTATAAGTGGATTGATGCTATAAATGGATGGACTAATGCTATGAATGGAATGATGTTATGGGTGGATTGATGCTATGGATTGATTGGTGCTATGAATAGATGGACTGATGCTATGTATGGCTTGATGCTATGAATGGATGGATTGATGCTACGAATGGATGGATTGATGCTTTAGATAGACTGATGCTATGGATGGATTGATGTTGTGAAAGGATGGAACGATGCTATGGGTGGACTGACTGATATATCGATGAACTGATGTTATGAATGGACTGATGTTATAGATGGACTGATGCTATGAATGGATGGACTGATGCATGGATGAACGGATGCTATGGATGGACTGATGCTGTATATGGATAGACTGAAGCTATGAATGGATGGAATGGTGCTATGGATGAACTGATGCTATGAATAGATGGACTGACGGCACAGATGAACTGATGCTATAAATGGATTCATTGATGATACACATGGATGGCCTGATGCTATGGATGAAGTCTGATGCTATGGATGGACTGATGCTATGAATGGATGAACTGATGCTATGAACGGATTGATGCTTTGAATGGATGGACTCATATTTGGATGAAATGATTCTATGGATGGACTGATGCTACTGATGGACTAATGTTATGGATGGATTGATGCTATGGATTGATAGATACTCTGCATGGATGATCTGATGCTATGGATGGAATAATTTTATAGATGGACTGATGCTATGGATTGATTGATGCTATGTTTGATGGATTGATGTTATGGAATGATTGATGTTATCAACAATCTGATGCCATGGATTCAGTGACACTATGACTGCTATTACTCATGCTATGGATGGACTGATGCTATGGATTGATTGATGCTATGAAGGATGGACTGGATCCTATGAATGGGATGATGCTATGAATGGATGAACTGATGCTCCAGGTGGATGACCTGAAACTATAGACAGATTGATGCTATGGATGGATTGATGTTATGGATGGTTTGATGCTATGGCTTGTTGATGCTATAAATGATGCACTTATGCTATTGATGGACTGGTGGTGCTTTGGATTGATCGATGCTTTCAATGATGGACAGATACTCTGGATAGATTGATGTTATGGATGGTCCAATGCTATGGATGGAGTGATGCTATGAATGGATGGACTAATGTTATGGATGGCCTGATGCTATGAATGGATGGACTGATGCTATGGGTGGGTGAACTGCTATGGGTGATCAATGAATCTACTGATGGACTGATGATATGAATGGATTGATGCTCTGAATGGATCAACGATGCTACGGATGGATTGATTCTTATGGATGGACTGATGTTATGGATGGATTGATGCTATGTTTGCTGGATTGATCTATGGAATGATTGATGTTATTGATGATCTGATGCTATGAATTCACTGATGCTACAAATGCGATTACTTGTGCTATGCATGGACAAATGCTATGAATTGATAGACTAATGCTATGTATTGATTCATGTTATGAATGATGAACTGATGCTACGGGTGAACTGATGCTATGAATGAATAGACTGATGCTATAGATGGACTGATATTATGGGTGGACTGATGCTGTGGATTGACTGATGCTATGAATGGATGGACTGATGCTATGGATGGATTGATGCTATGGATGGACTGATGCTATTGATTGATTCCTGGTATGAATGATGGACTAATGCAATAGATGGATCGATGTTGTAGATTGTTCGATGCTATCGATGGACTGATGTTACCGATAGATTGATGCTACAGAAAGATTGATGCTATGGATGTACTGATGTTCTGGATTAATTGATGCTATGAATGGATGTATTAATGTTATGGACAGACTGATGCTATGAATGGATGGACTGATGCTATGTCTGGATAGACTAATGCTATGGCTGGATGGATTGATGTTATGAATGGATGGACTGATGCTATGAATGAACTGATGGTATGAATGGATGGACAGATGTTTGGATGAACTGATTCAGTGGGAAGACTGACACTACTGATGGATTGTTATGGATGGATTGATGCTACGGCTCGACTGCTGTTCTGAATGGATGAACTGATGCTATGGATGGATTGATTTAATGAATGGACTGATGCTATGGATGCATTGAATCTATGTTTGATAGATTGATGCTACGGAAGGATTGATGTTATTGATGATCTGATGCTATGGATTAATCGATGCTATGAATGCTATTACTCATGCTATGGACAGACAAATGCTATGAATCGATAGACTGCTGCTATGGATGGACAGATGATATGGATTGATTGATGCTATGAATGGACAGACTGATGGTATAGATGGATTGATGCTATGAATGGATAAACTGATGCTATGAATGGATTGATGCTATCAATGGATGAATTGATGCTCCAGATGGATGACCTTAAGCTATAGATGGATTGATGCTATGAATGAATGGACTGATGTTATGAATAGACTGATGTTATAAATGGTCTGATGCTATGGATGGATTGATATTATGAATGGATGGATTGTTGTGGACGGACTGATGCTATGGCAGTATGGACTGATGCTATCAATGAACTGATATTATGAATGGATGAACTAAAGCTATGAATGGATTGCTGCTATGAATGGATGGACTGTCATTTGGATGAACTAATTCTATGGATGGACTGATTATAAGGATGGCTTGACGCTACTGATGGACTAATGTTATGCATGGATTGATTAATGCTCTGAATGGATGAACTGATGCTGTGGATGGATTGATTTTATGAATGGACTGGTGCTATAGATTGATTGATGCTATGTTTGATGAACTGATGCTATGGAATTATTTATGTTATCAATGATCTGATGCTATGGATTCATTGATGCTATGACTGCTATTTCATGCTATGGATATGTATCGATGGATTGATGCTATGCATGGACTGATGCTATGGATTGATGTTATGAATGATGGACTAATGCTATGGATGGATTGATGGTATGGATGAACTGATGTTATGGATTGTTCAATGCTATGGATGGACTGGTGCTATAGATGGATTGATGCCATGAATGGATGGACTGATGCTATGGATGGATTGATGGTATGGATGAACTGATGTTATGGATTGTTCAGTGCTATGGATGGATTGGTGCTATAGATGGATTGATGCTACAGATTGAGTCCCGCTATGAATGATAGACTGATGCTTTGGATAGATCGATGTTGTAGATTGTTCAATGTTACAGATAAACTCATGCTATGAATGATGGATTGATGCTCTGGATTGACTGAAGCTATGAATGGATGGACTGATGCTATCAATGGACTGATGTTATGAATGGATGAGCTGATGCTATGAATGGATGGATTGATGTGTGGTTCAGCTGATTCTATGGATAGAATGATGTTATGGATTGACTGACAATACTGATGGACTAATGTTATGGATGGACTGGTGTGATGGATTGATTGATGCATGAATGGATGGACTGATGCTGTGGGTGAACTGATGCTATGAATGAGCTTGAGGCTGTTAGTTTCCTCCTCTGTCCCTCAGCATCTTTTATCAGGGGACATACAGGAAAGTATTTGGAAAGTCCTCACCTCCAGACAGATGACAGAGCCCTGGTGCTCCCGGAAAACCCGAAGCTGCTCCCCACTCAAGATGTCCCAGGCTCGGACGGTGGCATCCGTGCTACCTGTGAAGGCTGTGTGGCTGGAAGCATCCAGCACCAGGCACAGCACTGCACCTGTGTGGCCCCGCAGTGTCTGGTGGCAGCAGCCACTGGCCACCTGCCACACCTTGGCCGTGCCATCTGTGCTGCTGGTCACTAGAAGGCCACCACCCACAGCTGCCTCCAGGCAGGGATCACTGGGCAGGTCCTCAGGGGCAGAGTAGGCTAGGGTCAGCACACAGTTGCGGTGGCCCCGGAACTCCTGGGATGCTTGTTCCTGGTCCACAGTCCAGACACGAGCTGTCCGGTCATAAGAGCTGCTGAAGAGCTGGTCATTGGCAACTAGGATCCTGTGGGTAAGAGGTAATGGTCATGACTGAAGGAATTCATCTAGCCCCTGTGGGCTAGCCTTGGCACTGCAGCTGAAATAGCTGCCCTCCTCTACCCTCACATTCCAAAGTCCAGCTCAAAGCATCCCACCTCCAAGGAACTGCCCTGACTCCCCCTCAGCCATTCCTCCAATCCTGAGTTTCCTCCCCCTGTGAGATACCTTCTGGCCTAGTCTCTACTCCCAGAAAGAGCCATGGCTTAGTCACATGGATCCTCACAACACTCATCCACAGCAGATGCTCCACAGTCATGAAAGGGGGAAGATGAAGGGAGACAGGAGGGAGCAGACAATGGCTTTCAGTTTAAAAGCCACTCTGAAAGCTGAGGCAGGAGGATTGTCATGAGCTCAAAGACAGCATAGTGAGTTTCAGGCAAGCCTAAGCTACAGAGTTAAACCCTACCTCAAAAAACAAAGCAAAGCAAAACAAATAAAAATAACTGAGAAAGTTTGGGGCTTATGGAACCATCTGGCTACCCCGGGAACAGCTGGATACATAAGACTGGCTTGGCAAGGCCATCTCAGAGTAGGTACCTTGGAGGACTAAAAGCAATCCCAGAAGCCACTCCTGTCACTCTAGCTCTAGACAACTCAGGGGTGACTGAGGGAGGCACAGAGACAAGCTGCACAGTGATTGGGCATCGATGGTCACCTCTCCCATAAGCTCCACACGCATGTCACTGCAGTTCCAGGGCAGCCTCCAGACATACAACTGGGGAAGGGTGGCTACAGGGAACTCTGGGTACGGTGCACCAGGAGGGTGCATTCATGTAGTGGGCTGGCCGGCCACAGGATGGGTGGCTTACTGGGCAGTACTTAATCACAACTTGCTTTCATGTTGCTAAATGCTATGACCTCTCCAGGAAACACAGTTTGTCTTTAGAACAGAACTTTGCACACAACTTTCAAAGGTCTGTTTACACACCCTTGTTAGGAAGTCCTGAGTCCTAGGGAAGAGACTGCAAAAGCCTGAGGCCACAGCTGCAGCTGTGACGTGGGGGTGGGGGTTTCTCTGCTAGTGTGGGACCAGGACCTGCCAAGGGTCAAGATCTCAGCCGTACAAGGACCTACGGTGTTTGGGGGTGGGAGGGTGCAGCATGGGGTACTCCTGAGGTACTGAGGGGATGGTTAATCTTGACCGTCAGTTTGGATGATTATTTAGGATCATCATGAAAAGAAACTTCTGGCACATCTGTGAGAGTGTCTAGATTGAGTTAACTGAGATGGGAAGACCTACCCTAAATATGTGTGACACCACTCCACGGGCTAGGGTCCTGACTGAATAAAAAGGAAAAAGTGAGCCGAGCACCTGCACGCATCTCTCTGCTTCCTGACTATGGCTACAATATGACCAGCTGCCTCACACTCCGGCCACCATGATTTTACCACCAGGACGGGCTGTTTCTCTGTGAGCCCAAAGAAACCCTTCTTCCTTAAGTTGCTTTTGTGGTAGCAATAAGAAAACAAACTAATACGGGGATAACTGAGTCCTGTCCAGATGCAACGCTAGGGCCAACAGCAAGGACAGCAGACCATCAAAGGAGGGGTGTCCCTGACTCTCACATGCATGAATTGGTTCTCAAAACACAGTAGTGAGTTCTAGTCCTCACTTCAGGCTCTCACCCATTTGGAAACACAATTAATCATGCAAGTATCTCCTCAGTGCTGTGGGTTTAAAGCAGCCACTAATGAAAAATAGTCCACGTATGTGTGTGTTTCTGTATGTTTTGTGTATGTGTATATGGGTGTATGTTATGTGTACTTTTTTTTATGTGTCTGAGTATTATGCCTGCATGTATGCAGACCCCATGGAGTACAGAAGAGGGTGTTGGATCCCCTGGAACTGGAGTTACAGACGGTTGTTAGCCACCATGTGGGTGCTGGGATTCAAACGCAGATCTTCTGCAAGAACAGCCAGTGTTCTTAACCACTGAGCAATCTCTCCAGTGCCTGTGTATATTTCTGAATGTCTTTTTTAAAAAATATTTTATTTATTATTTTTATTTTTATGTGTATGAGTGTATTGCCTGCATATGTGTAAGTACATGCTTGTGCAATGCCTGTGGAGTCAGAAGAGGGCATTGGGTTACCCTGGAACTGGAGTTACATTACAGACAGTTGTTAGCTGCCATGTGGGTGCTGGGAATCGAATGCAGGTCCTCTGCAAGAGCAGTGAGTGCTCTTAACCACTGAGCCATGGCGGGGATGTGAAGAAGAGGGCTTCGGATTCCCCTGGAACTGGAGTTATGGACGGTTTATAGCTGCCATGTGGGTGCTGGGAATCAAACCTGGGTCCTCTGCAAGAGCAGTCAGCAGTCAGTGCTCCTAACCACTGAGCCATCTCTCCAGCCCCTTTCTGAATGTCTTAAATGCAGCTCAGTGGTATCTGGCATCTGTGTTTATGTGTCTGTATATATGTATGCTTACATGAATGCTTTTATACATGTTTTTGTTCATACATGTGCCTGTTGTGTGCACTTATATGTTGTACTTTTATGTTGTGTTCAGGTATATATACACATGTGTACCTGTACACTGTGCATGCATGGGACACTAACCCTGGCAGAACATAATTTCCAGCCTGTATGGTCTGGTTCTCCTTGAGAGAAGCCAGTAGCGGGCAGCAGCCTGAAGACAAGCTGGTCACCTGAAGACCTGGCCTCTCCTCATCTATGGTGGCCTCTGACTGATGCCTCAGTTTCCTTCAATGACAAATTTTGTAGAGGGGAGGGGAAGTTCTGAGAATCTTATCTGGAGCTCACACTGTAGCCCAAGCCAGCCCTGAACTCATAGGCATCCCACCTCAGCCTCCCAAGTGTTGGGACCACGGGAGCAAGCTACCATGCCTGGCTAAAAACAGACTTCTCAGTGGGCAAAGTGGTAACAGTGTGACAGCTGAGTTCTCCTTCTAGATCTTTCTCTGCCACCTCTTGCAGGCACCTCTAGACTAATCTGCCCCCTTGGCCAAGTTGGCTTGTCTCTCTCAGGAATGTTCCCTGCCCTGCCCTGTTGGCTGACCATCCAATGAGGCATCTGGTGCTGCGGTTAGCTGGAATGGCCCATCTGCCTGCTGATTTCCCAGTACGCTTGAGGTCCACACAGCATGGGAAGTCTTACAGAAGCACAACCTCTCCTGTGTCCACCCACCTCAGCCCTTGGGAATCTCTCAAGTAGCAAGTGACTTCAGGAGTCCTGCGCTAGGCATTCTCCTGGAGTCTGGTCAAACATCATGCATTATAAAAATAGTGTCGAGTTGATCTGATCAGCAAAAGAATTTCCACTGCTCAGGTCCAACCCTAAATTCAATAAGGAAAACTTCAGACCCTGAAAAAGGGCTGGGAGACCTTCAGCAGCCACACGAAAAGGTTTAAAAATATCCCCAACTGATTTTTCACAACAAGCCAGTTTTCCTCCTCCTCCAAACCCCTGCTCTACCATCAGGTGTCAATTAAATAATTTCCTCTGGAATTTGCTCCCATCAGTATGTGCTGAAGCTCGGACACAGTCCCTGCAACCCAGGGGGCAGTCAGGATGTGGCTCCCCAGGGCAGCGGAGACCAATTCAATGTGTCGGTGATGTCTCCTTCCTGCGCCTCTTCTGTACAAACGCCCTACCACCATAGCGGTTAGCTACACTGCTCAAGGTCAGTCCTCTATCTCTATCCTCTTGACCCATACCACAAGGCTCGGCTGACCTGTTTACAATGGACGTGTGTCCTCGGTACACCTGCAGACACTGCCCAGTTTGCACATCCCACCTCCGGATGGTGCAGTCAGCACTGCACGTGAAGGCAGCTTCATCCTCCAGCTGGCAAAAGGTCACATAGCTCTCATGTCCTATAACGAGAGGAGATGTGAGCTGTGAGCTGAGGGGAGCTGAGGGGAGCTGCCCAGCTCTTGCTTTCTTTCTGGAAAAAAATGTTTTCAAGCAGAAAAAGGAAAGACAGCAGACAACAGGGGATAGGAGTGTCTGAGGTGAGTCTGAAAGAGCCTAGGTCTCTCTTTTTTTTTTTTTTTAATGGAGGAGCTGGGGCTGGAGAGATAGCTTAGTTGTTAAGAGCACTGGCTGTTCTTGAAGAGGACCCAGGTTCAGTTTCTAGCACCCACACTGTGGCAACTCACAATCATCTGTAACTCCAGTTCTACACATACATACATGCAGGCAAAACATTCATACACATAAAACAAAAAAAAATTTTTTTTTTTGGTCTTTTTGAGACAGGGTCTCCCTGTAGCCCCAGCTGTCCTGGAACTCACTATGTAGACCAGGCTGGCTTCGAACTCACAAAGATCCACCTGCCTCTGCTTCCCGAGTGATGGGATTAAAGGCGTATGCCACCACACCCAGCTAAAACAAAAATTTTTAAGATAAAGAGTCTTGATATGTAGTCTAGGCTGGCCTTGAACTCATAATCCTTCTTTGTCAGCCTCTAAGAGTGCTGGGATCCCAGGAGTGTATCACCAATGCCCAGTTGAACTAGTAGTCCTTTTGTGATTTTTTTTTTTTTTTTTTTGAGTCAGCTTCTCCCTGTAGCCCCAGCTGGCCTGGAGCTTGCTATGTAGACCAGGCTGGCTTCGATCTCACAGAGATCCACCTGCCTCTGCCTTCCAAGTGCTGGGATTAAAGGCATGCAATACCATACCTGGTCTACTTTTTGTGATTTTTTAAAAAATGTTTTATTATTTTTATTTTATGTGTATGCGTGTATTGCCTGTGTGTAGGTAAGTGCACCCATGTCGTGCAATGCCCTTGGAGGACAAACGAGGCTGTTGGATCCCCCAGAACTGGAGTTTCAGACAGTCGTTAGCTGCCATGTGGGTGCTGGGATTCGAACCCGGGTCTTCTGCAATAACAACCAGTGTTCTTAGCCGCTGAGCCATCTCTCCAGCCCCATCCTTTTGTGATTTTGAATTGTGTGTGTTTGTGTGTGTGTGTATGAGTGTGTATGTGTGTGTGTATGTGTGTGCGTGTGCGTATGTGTGTGTGTGAGTGTGCGTATGTGTGTGAGTGTATGTGTGTGTGAGTGTGCACGTGTGTGACTGTGTGTGTGTATGTGCGTGTGCACATATGTAGGAAAATACCAGGTGTCCTGCCTTATTCCTCTGATAAAAGGTCTTTCACTGAACCCGGGCCAGGCTGGCAACCAGCAAGCCCCAGCAATCCTCCTGTCTCTACCCCCTACAGGGCTGGCATTACAGGCTTGTGCACAGCCACTCCCAGGTTTTTTGGACACAAGGTCCATGTAGCCCCATCTAGCTTTAAGTTTACTATGTGCCCAAGATGGCCTTGAACTCCTGATCCTTCTGCTAGCATCTCCAAGAGCTGGGATTGTGAGCATGTGCCACCACACCCAGGTCTTTAATCTCATTTGAGAATCTCCAAGTACTAGCTGGAGTCAGGCAAACAGGGACTTTAGAATCTCCTGGGTAGTGTCAAGCTGATGAATTTCTTTAAGGTCCTATAAGCTTAGCTGCTCTTGGAAGAACTTGACTTCCTGTGTTCTAAGAAACAATTTTTTTTTTTTGGTCTTTTTTGAGATAGGGTCTTCCAGTAGCCCCAGAGGGTCTAGAACTCCTAGAACTAACTACGTAGACAGGCTGGCCTTGAACTCACAGAGATCCACCCGTCTCTGCCTCTTGAGTACTGGGATTAAAGGCATGCGTCACCATGCTAGGCTAAGAAACAGAATTTTCCCAGATAAGAAACAGAATTTTAAAAAAGTTTTCCACCCTTCCTGGAGAGCACTGCTCTGAAAATAATGCGGGAATTAAGAAAAATTCTTGAAGAAGTGACAGATCATGTTTCCCTGAATATACAAGTCCACGAAAAAGCCTAGGGCAAATGTGTTTGGCAAAACACAGTCCGTATTTCTGCCAACCCCAAAGAGTTTATAGAATACTTTTTAAGGTTGTCAACAAACTTTTCCCTGAGTCCAGATCTGTCCCACCTTCTCCACTGCCTATGTAGGGGCTAAGCATAGAATCTGAGGAGCCAATTCATAGTCTACAAAGGATTAGGGTACCCTGGGGAGGTCAGCAGGGTGTGCCAGGTCCACCAGGTGCTAGGTGGGTGCCTAAGTCCATGGTCCCCAATGACACTGTATGGGCATTACTTCCCACAGTCCCCAAAGAACCCTGTATGGGCGTCACCTTCCACAACCCTGAGCCAAAGCTGGCTGAGGCCCACTGGCTGCTCCAGCAGCGCCCAGCTGTTCACATCCCATCTACACAGCAGGAAGGTCAAGTGCTGCGGTGAGTCATATATTAAATCAAGAAAAAGCACTCAAGAGCCACGTGTGGCCAGTGAACAATGACACCATGACTCTGTGGAACTGCAGCTACCAAACCTGGCTGGGGGAGACCTGAGGTATAGACAGCTTTATGATATCGATGGAAAAGAGGGTCTGAACACACAGACTGCAAATCAATACAAAACATAAGTGCACATCAGCCAAGTCTGGAAGGAGAGTAGCAGTAACCAGAGCACAGCAAGAGCTGCAGTCCAGCCCAAAGTTTCCATGTAAAACACCCTCAACTCTGACTGTAGCCAGGCTGACCCAGGGCTCTCTGTAGCCAGCATTCAGCCAGCTGAGGTTCCCAAGCATGCAGGGCTCTGGAAGGGTCCTTCCCCAGTCTGCAACAGCTCACCCCCACATCTGAAAACACACCCGCTTTGGGCACGCACAGGTCAGAGCCTGCCAACAGAGCGGATGGACATTGCAGAGCACGTTCCCTTGTCTCCCTGCCCCACCGTGCGACCAGTGCTACCACAAGGCAGACCAGCCTGTGGGGTCACTGCTGCAGAGGGTGGGAGGGACCTCATCTGCAGCCATCGGGCCTATCACACCTCCTGGGACCACAGAACCTCAGCTTCCAGCAGTTGGAATTGTGAGGCATAAGCAAAAACACCAAGTTGAAGTAAATATTTTGAAGGGATTAAGAATGCTGATAAGGGCTGGAGAGATGGCTCAGCGGTTAAGAGCACTGACTGCTCTTGCAGAGGACCCAGGTTCGATTCCCAGCACCCACAGGGCGGCTACGAACTGTCCTTAACTCCAGTTCCAGGGGAATCCGACGCCCTCTTCTGACCTCCACGGCATTGCACGACATGGGTGCACTCACATACATGCAGGCAATACATTTATACACATAAAATAAAAAATATAATAAATAAAATTTGAAAAAAAAAAGAATGCAGATAAGATGCAGTCGTTACATGCAGAACAGGCTGCAGCTGCAGGATCCTACTGAGGCAGTTGCTCCTCCCTGGGCACTGAGGACTTGTTGAGGTCTGTGACCAAGCTGCTCCCTCTGTGCCCAGGAAAAGTGGCCCAGGACCTAGTGCTTCAGAGAACCCTAACTGCAACAAGCCTTGGATTTAGGAAACCAGGCTTCCTTTCCCTCTCGGTGTCCCAGAGTCAGACAACAAAGCAGCTGGCCACCCTAACAGCCACTTGCTGACAGGAGTGGCACTATGTATTAATACTTGGCCACATGCTTACCCTGCCCATGGAGCATAAGGGAGTATTATAACTGGTGGAGAGAGAGGAGCCTGTTTGGTGGCCTGACCTTGTCCCTCCCTGCCCCCCACTTCCCAGTGCCGGGATGGGCCCTGGTCCTCACACTTCCAGATGGGTTCACACAGTGGTAGACTTTAGGCCAGAATGTTTCCCTGGGCTCTGGCACAGGCTGGCTGTGGCTCTCCAGTCAAGGTCACCTTGCCCCAGGAACCCTCCCACAGCTGTCTCTGAGATGTGGTAACTACATCCCCTGGAAGGAGTTTACCTTATACTCTGCCCACTTTGCGGTATCACTTTCCTAAATGCTCATAAATTACCCTCTGTGGAGGGAGCCGGGACCCTGACTGGCGCAGCCCCTCAGCAGGGGGCATCTGAGCCTAGAAATGCCAAAGTGGCCACAATGGACCACAAAGCCACCAGGACTCATGATCCATCCGCAGGCCACCACTCAGAACTGATCAGGATTTCTATGTGGGACTCAGGCCCACCTGCCCAAGCTGCCACTCTCAGCCACGTGGAACACAGTCTACTCCTTCCTTCCAGCCCAGCCCAGCCATGGCCCTGCCAACAACCCCACCTACCACTTTACCACCTCTTCCCTCTGTCTTCTCACTGGGCACCCACAGGGAGCTCACCACCTAATTGACAGTTGTATCCAAAGCACTAAAGAATGAATTACCTACTGTCTGGGCTTCTGTGCGTAACAGACTGCATTTCCATGGAACTCCTTCTTGAGCCAATATTGTTTTGTTTATGTGTGCCAGCCCTCCTGCGCTCCTCTGTGCCCTTTAAAAGTATATGAACTGTGGCCAAGGCAATGGCTCAGCAGTTAAGAACACTTGCTGTTCTAGAAAACCCAGGTTTGAGTCCCAGCACCCACATGACCACTAACAACCATCCATAACTCCAGTTCCAGGAGATCCGGCACCCTCTGGCCTCTGACAGGCACTATATGCACATGATGCCCTTACATACATGCAGGCAAAACACTTATACACATAAAATAAAATAAAAAATTATGGGGCTGGAGAGATGGCTCAGCGGTTAAGAACACTGGTTGTTCTTGCAGCAGACCCGGGTTCAAATCCCAGCACCCACATGGCAGCTAACAACTGTCCGTAACTCCAGTCCCAGGGGATCTGACAGCCTCTTCTGACCTCCGTGGGCATTGCAGGACACGGGTGCACTTACCTACATGCAGGCAATACATGCATACATGTAAAATAAAAATAAATAATTTTTTTTTAAATTATGAGCTGTACGCTCACAGAACAACAGTAACAATGGGTACTTGTGTCAACATCCAGCCTGTCCACATGCCTCTTTTCTCCCTGATACTCTCTAGGTTCCACAGCTGAGACTTTGCTTCTGCCCTGCTGAAAGCAAGTGCCCCCTTCCAGAAACACCCTGGCTCACAGGCACCCTAGGAAGCTGAGAAGAGTGTGTGGAGTAGCCACAGCGTTCTCGTTCCCAAATAATTGGCAATTAAGCCTTCTTTTCCACTTGAGTTCACTCACTACATTTGAAAGTCATCCGACTTATAAAGAATGTATTCAGGGCTGAAGAGATGGCTCATCAGTTAAGAGGACGGGCTACCCTTGCAGAGGACCCGGGTTTGATTCCCAGCACCCACGTGACAGCTAACAACCGTCTGTAACTCCAGTTTCAGGGGAATTCGAGGTTCTCTTCTGGCCTCCACAGGTACTGCATGACACGGGTGCACTTACATGCAGGCAATACACTCATATACATAAAATTAAAATAATAAATACTGTTTTCAAAAAAGAATGTGTTCACCAGTGACTCCTCTGGGGGCTCCAAGGGCAATGACCTCCCTGGAAATTCCCAGAGCGATGACTCCTTTCTTTGGTCTCCATCCCAACCCTTGGACCAAACTTCTCTAAGCTCGGCAAGATACTCAGAAAGGTCTTGGGTCCCAACAGTCTCTGCTACTGAGAACTGAAAAAAACAAAACAAAACAAAAAAAAAACTGGAACACATGACAGTTACCAGTTCCAACCACTCTGCCCAAACAAAAGGCTTTACAAGTCTAAAGCCGCACACAGGGCCAGTTCTCAACAGGAGTGGAAGGGTGCCTGGATTTCAGGGCATCAAGTACAGATCAAGGCTAGCCCCATGACCTGGGCACAGCCACCCCTGCAGCAGCTCCCCAAATAGGGACCAGCCTTGCAACCTTGGGCAAGTACCCGAGTTCACCTTTGCTTTGGGGGACGCTGGGGTTACTCTTACCTCACAGCAGCTTCTAGAAAACACAAAACATTCTGTGTCAGTAAATGTGTCTTTCTCAATTTTGGTTCATAACTGGTCAATCCTTTCCGATGAGACATACATTTTAAATAGATGGTATCTTTACTAAGTTAGGTGTGGTAGCACATGTCTATAATCTCAACACTAGGAGGATGAGGCAGAAGGACAGATTCCAGTTCAAGACCAGCCTGGACTATTTTTGAGATTTTGTCTCAAAAACACCAAAAAGCTAGGCAAGGTGGAAGGCGGAAGCTGTTGTAATCTCAACACTCTGGAGGCAGACGCAGGACAATTACAAGTTGGTCTACACAGAAAATTCCAGGCTGGACAGCCTGTCTCAAAATAGCTTTAAAAAAAGGGGGGGAGGGGGGAGGGACTATGGAAGTGGTTTAGTGCTTGCCACGCAAGCAAGAGGATCTGTTTGATCTCCAGCACCATGTAAAAAGCCAGGTGTGGTGATAAATACTTGTAATCCTAGAGCTAGGGAGGTGGAAACAGGTGAATCAGTTGAGTTAGCCTAGCCTACACTGACCTACAAGTTCTAGGCTAATGAGAGACTTTTGACTGAAAAAGAGGGGGAGAGGAGGAGGAGGGGGAGGAGGAAGGAGGAAGGAGGAGGAAGGAGGAGGAAGGAAGATAAATTGGGATTATTTGGCAAATTAAAAAATACAACTTGTGAATTTATTGTGATTCAATAAATTCTGTCATGGTAGAAACACAAATATGTCTGGGAGGAGGAGGAGGAGGAAGAGGAAGAAATCCCACCACTCAGGAAGCAGAGGCAGATGAATCTCTATGAGTTCAAGGCCAGCCTGGTCTACAAAAAGAATCCCAGGTCAGCCAGGGTTACATAATGAGACCCTGTCTCTCTCTCAAAAAAAAAAAGCCCCTGAGGAGTCTCTGGCCTTCACACACAAGCACATACATTTACACCCATGTGTATGTACACACACAAACAATACACACCAAAATAGAAAATTTCTAATATTTCACTGAAACAAATGCATCCTTCAAGAGGCCAGGGCTGGCAAGGCTTTGGGTTTTTTTGGGGGGGGGGCACATACAAAAGGAATACCACACATTCACACAGATTCACAAAAGTTAAGTCTAAAAGCAGGATCTCAGAATAGAAAGACTCTGTCCCTTCTGTCCTTGAACTGCTTTGAAATGCCAGCCTTTTGTTATTGTTGTTGTTATTATTATTATTATTATTTCTTTGGTATTTTTGAGACAGGGTCTCCCTATGTAGCCCCAGCTGATCTGGAACTCACTACATAGACCAGGGTGGCCTTGAACTCAGAGACCTGCCTACCTCTGCCTCCTGAGTGCTGGGATTAAAGGCCTTCACCACGTCTGGTGAAATGCCAGCCTTTATAAAAGCAGAATCAACGCTTGAGTAAGAACAGGCTGATGGCAGACCTTTCCCACTGCATGGAGTGTCTCTCCACCAGGGGAGGGTGGGCATCCCTCACTGGAAAGCTTAGTCATAAGAGGACAGATAGCTATGAGGGCCACCAAAGTGGGTGCGAAGGATGCCGGGTGCTAGGCACAAGGGTGGTCCCTGGAAGCTTGGAAAGACTCCAGAGCTGACCTGGCCTGAGCCAGTGCCCACTGGGGCAGAACTTCCCTTGAAAGCCTGGAGCTTTTCTGGCCCCTTCTAAGTTTTCTAACAGATAGTTCTCCTGTGTGGGCCATGGTCAAGAGTGGGACCGCACTGTGTGGGGAGGAGTGTGGCTCATTTAGTGGCTAATTCCCCATTTTCACACCAGCTCCCACATACCTGTCAAGCCAACATTGAGGCTTTGAAACAGCTGCCTTAAACTGTTTTCACTCGAAACCAAGAGTGTAGGTATGAGCCAGTTTTGAGGCTAACTTCCTACCTCAGCTGGAAGGGCTTGGACCAGGCCACCCAGGATCTGCTTATCATCAAGAAAAAGCCAGAGATAAAGGTGGTCAGGCGCTACCTAGTGCAGAAAGCCTTGAATTCCTCCGCAGTTTGCATATGCTACTGCACCAGCCAAGAGCTGGGCTGGAGGGGAAACCCCACACAGTCTGGGGTGGATGACCCCTGGGCACTGCCCAGAATCCAAACTTGAATATAAACCAATAGGCATGGATGTGTAAACTACATCTAGATCACTGTATATGATAGTGCTGTTTCATTTCAAATATGCCAAGTAGATTCGACCCCACTCTCCAGAAATTTGGATGAGTCTTCCCCTTTCTTTCTGCCACAGTTGGGGGACGGCTCTAGGTAGGGCGACTGGTGAGGAAGGGAGCGCAAAGTCAAGGGTAGCTGTGTAAAGTCGGCACACAGCCTTCTAGGCCCCCAACAAGCCCCTCTTGTTGCCACAATGGCCCCCAAAGAGGAAATGTCGTCCAAAGGTCATCAGGTCAAGGAGAGACAAGGGAAGTGTTCCTTAGGTGCGGATGCGACCTCTTTCTGCTTGCTAAAATCTGTTGTCAAGGATTTCGTGGGGCTGGCTGAAAACATCTTGCATCAGAGGTGAGCGCCCCTCGGCCACCCGACCCCGGCACCCTCACCCTGGCACGGTGGGACCCTCACCGCCGTGAGCTCACCGCTGGGTGAGCACCCGGGTGGGCAGGGGCTAGAGCTGGATTCCTGCAGAAAGAGGGCTGCGGGCGGAAGAGCAAGGTCCACCACGCGGGGCGTGTGGGCGCCCGGCGAGGAGGCGGGAAGGGTCGCGAGCACGCGGTCTACCTTGCAGCAGCGCGCAGCACCGGCCGTCCGCGGTGCTCCAGAGGCGGGCCGTGCCGTCCTCGCTGCCGGTCAGCAGGCGCCGGCCGTCCGGGCTCAGGCTCAGCCAGTTGATACCCCCGCGGTGGTCTGCGCAGACCCTCAGCGCCGAGCCGCTGCCCCCCATCACCGGGACCGGGCGAAGAGGCGCTGTGCGCGGCTAGAGGGCGGAGCCCCGACGTCCACCCGGGGTCCTGGCGGGGCCTGGAAGGTCGGCGACCATCGTGGGGTACCCGGGCGCCCCACTTCTGCTCACGGCGCGATGGGAGCGGGGCCCTGCGTCCCCCGTGGAGAACCCCGAGTGTGAGCTCCTCGGAAGCGGCGTCTCTGGGCGCGTGGGGTCGGCCCGGCCTCCAGACGCGTCCACCGGGTGGGAGGCGGGCGGAGAAACCCGGGAAGCAGAGCGCAAAACAATACAGTCCAGCCTGGCTCCTCCTCAGAGACCACCCCCCCAACCTGTCCCCTCCCACTTCTCGGGCGGCAAGCCAACCCCCACCCCAACTCTCCCGGGTAGTCCTCAGGGCCAGACCTCCCGAGTGCCACCCCAGTCCCCACGTGCACCCTTCCAGCTGCTCAGGCTGCGCCTCTGGGTTCAGCTCCCTGCCACTCCCGCTGTCCCTGTCCCCAGAGCCCCGAACCAGTACGAGGGAGAACGAGGTGGACGGAAGAGTCTGGAGACTAGGGGAAGGACCCCCTGGTGATTTGCGCTACCGGGTAAGCCACAAGTCCTCCCAGCCTGGGCGATCACGCGCGCACCCCTAATCTACTGAAGTCCCGCCAGGGGAGGGGCCCGGCCGCTGGGGGTGAGGCGCAGTCTGGGATAGGGGTGTCAGTGGGGCTTGGGGGGGCAGGTTAGCCCCTCCCCCACACTTCGCCACTCCACCCCCACGCCCTCGGCTGGGCGCGCGCCTCCGAGGTCCCACTGAGGTCTGGAGGAATCCCACACCCGGCCCTCAGCCCTCCCGGAGCTTGGTCAGCTGGTTCCTATTAGAGCAGTTCCCGATGCCGACTCTGCTGGGGGGCGGGGAGGGTGACCCCCCTCGAATCCTCCAGGTCCTAAAGGTAGCAGGGTTTCTTGAACCCTCCAGGGCGCTTTCGGGAGGCCGGAAAGCGATGGCTTTGGGGAGCCAGCCCCCAGGGTGACAGTCGGGCCTGCCCACTCTCGCTGACCCTGTTCAGTTCCAAGAAAACCCCAGAATAGGTCCCACGGGGCAGCCGGCTTTATTCCCCGACCATAAACATAAACCATAAACGTCTATTCTTCCTGAAACTCGCAGATCAGCTTAAGGAGAGCAGACTTCTTCGCAGACTTGAGGAGCCAGCCCTTAGAGGGGGTTAGGGGCGGTTTGACAGGATCCGGGAAGTTGGAGGCAGGAGGCAGTTGGTGACTGCAGAGAGGGGGAGAGCCAGCGTGTGCTGGTCCTGAGTTCACCTGGGACCTTGAATTCAAAGGCCTTTGTGAAGACTGGTGGGCAGTTGGGTACACAGGTGAGGCCGGGGGTGTGGGGGGGTGGAATGGGTGCGTGTGTGTAATGGGTAATCAACCTGGAAAAAGCTGAGACTGTTTACCCAGAGAGGGGCTAAGAGGGTAGAGGAAAACCTGGAATCTCAGGGTGGGGTGTCCAAAGGGGTGGAGGGAGTGGGGTGTCCAAAGGGGTGGAGGGGTGGGGGGCTCCCGGGGCTGGGTGATGTGAACATGTTTAAGGTTCAAGGAGCAGTGAGTGGGACAGGACAGCCATCCTGGGGAAGATCTCAGTTTCTGAGGGGGTCACATGGTATGACCAAGCAAAATGGGACCCCTAAGCTTCTCCTTCCTCTACCAGCCCCCAGAAAACCACCTGGTTCCTTCCTGAGCCCCCAGCCTGCAGAAGACCCAAAGGCCATCAACCCCAGAGCTAGCAGTCTGCACACTGCTGACCCCGGCCAGCTGCCTCTGTCACTCCCCCCCAGCCCCTCAGCACAGAGTGGTAGGAATGAGTGCCACCAGCTTCTTTTCTCAGGAGGGTTTGCACTCCACTTTGTAGTAGCCATAACCATGTTGGCTTGGGCCCTTTTCCTTTACAGGAAAACCTAAGGGTTGTCAGGAGATAGGAAAGTTGGAAATGGATACCCAATTCCCCTGAGCCTGGGGTCCTCTGCACCCTGAGGTAACAAAGCCTCAGTCCCAAAGCCCTTCCAGTCCACCAGCTTTGCTGACATAAGCATAAACTGGCCTGAGCATTGCTGCACCTCCCCCCCTCCAGGCTGCCCAGCCCCCTGAAGGAGCCGGGATCTGGAATGTGGAGGTCTCTCAGCTAATCGTTTTAGGAATGTAAAGCACTGTAAAAAGAGGCCCTAGAGGGGAGGGGGAGGGGAAGCTACATTTCTAGAAGCTGAAGAAAAGAGTAGACTATTAGGAAGAACCCCAGCATCAATGGAAGTGAGCATTTGGTGCCAGGGAGTGGCCATACCCAAGGCCACACAAATAATCAAGTGTCACCTGTGGAGAAGAATGACCCGCAGAGCCTCTATGAAAAACATCTGGAAAGATGATTATCAAGGCCTGGCCACAACAGGTTTGGGTAACCTGTTATGAGCATGCCCTGTCAGAAACGGAGTGTCTCTCCACAGTGTCAGAATTCATTGAGTAACAATAAACTCACAAGGTTCTGTGATATCAGTGGAGCAATTTGCCAGATACTTCCTCTGCCCTTGATGGCCCTGGGCAGGGCTAACATAGGCCCTTTTATTCCTGATTGTTAACTCTTAGATCATATATTACACACAGTATGTGTGTATACATATACCTATATGTAGGTTACAGAATGGATACCAAAGGGCTAAAGAGGCCTGAGAGGCCAATGTTAGGAAAGCGTTACATGGCTGTGTGTGGGTGAGACACCAGACCAGCTGGGGGCTTTTGGAGAGGTGCCGCAGCTGCTGTTGTAGAATTCAGCTGCAGGGTCAGAGCTGAGCTCCATAGCTGGGGCCAGCTGCAGTGGTAATAGGGCAGGACTGAGTCCAGATGAACTAACAGGTAGACAGAGGGACAGCAAGTATAGACGGGTGAACAGGAAGACAGAAAAACCACAGATAGAGTAAGCTGTGTCAACAGTGAGGATTGAGCCAAACTAAACAGTGAACAGTCAGGTCAGTGGGGGCATCACCACCTCAGTGCTAGGTGTTCACCTCTTCTAAGACCCAGTGAGAAAGTATTCTATAGCAGTTTCCTCTGAGACAAATCCTTCCGTCTTGGAGGGAAGCTCAGCAAGCAATTGGGTGTTCCAAAGGGAGGCGCAGCAGTCCACGCTGTGGAAGCTGGTTATGCTCAGGAGTAGACATATCTTCAGGTAGCCTCCGAAACTGCCTAGTTCACAAGAGTATAGAAGCCCTAAGCTCTGCTGAGACAGTTGAGCTGCCTGGAAAGGACTGTCAGGCTGCTGAGCTGCCTGCGGGTTGTGCAAAGCACTCCAGGTTTCCTGCTCTCCTGAGCTGCCATCTGTACTGGGCTGGGCCTTGGGGATGCAGCTGTCATTGAGTCGTTTCTACTCCCGTAAGTAACCACAGTAAAACGCATTGGCTCACTGAGTTGGATTTTGATGGTATCTTTACTTCGTTCTGTTGGTTCCCTATCTCGTGGGAGTAGACATTTGTTCACATCTCCCCAGGAAGGTATCACACAACAGTTACACCTCTTTCTTGCTCTGGCGTGCCTAATAAGGTCTAGGGCCTGATTTTCCTGAGATAGATAGATGATTGATAGATAGATGATAGATAGATAGATAGATAGATAGATAGATAGATAGATAGATATACTTCATTTTTATTTTATGTGTATGAGTATATTGCTTGCATATATGTAAGTGCACCTGTGTCATGCAGTGCCCAAGGAGGTCAGAAGAGGGCATTGGATCCCCTGGAACTGTAGTCATGGATGGTTTGTTAGCTGCTACCTGGATACTGGGAACCAAACCCGGGTCCTCTTCAAGAGCAGCCAGTGCTCTTAACTGCTGAGCCATCTCTCCAGCCCTCCCCCCCATGTGATTTTAATAGACCCATGTGCCCCTACAGTTGCCTTCATCCTGACAGATTCATAGAGTGAATCTTTCTACTCCCAGGAATGGGGCATTTATCAGTGTGTGCCATGTGGTACAACTCAGGTGCACAATCATCTTGATCCTCAAAATGGATTCAAAACTTCTATAAAATAGAATCTTTCGGGGAAAGACACAGTCTGAAAAGTCACAGTCTGGAGTTACTTAGGGATGTCACAGTCTGACCTCAACAGTACCCACGGAGACCCTCATAGCTACAGCCTTGTAACAGTTTTCTTACCCTCCTGGTACCAGCTGCTTGGGGGTGAAAGTGGTCAGCATCATCGTCTTCACTTGGGTACTTACTGTGTTGCAGATACTGTGCTAGGTGCTAGTATTCAAGAGGATGATGTCTTCCTTGCCTGTGAGTTATTCCCAGGAGGAGAGCTCTGAGATTCTAGGAGACAAGCCCCTGTAGGTTTCCCTCCAGGCTCAAAGTGCACAAGCCAAGAAGCGTTTTTGAGAGGTGGGGCTGAAGGCAGCATTTCAACCTAACCAAATCTCTCCATTTCCCACTGTGCCCTTGATCGGGCTGGGGAAAGGCCAGTGGGAAATGGAGAGATTTGGTTAGGTTTAAATATCACTAAGAAGGAACTCTGTAGAGGGAGAAGGTGGCGTACAGAAGAGCAAAGTGAAACCCTGAGAAAAAGGGGCACAGCAGAAGGGTTCTTCTGTGAACACCCTGCAAGAACACCTGGGGCGAGTGTGAGGGGGCATGGCATCTTCCACCTCTCAAACTCCAGCCACTCCTCCAGCCCCTGTTCCTGGAGTCTCAAGTTAGGGAGCCTCATGAAACACTGGTTGCAAGTACCAGAAGCTTCATGATACTGTCCTATTGTAGGACCCCGAGACCCTCTTCATTCAACCCCTCCTGACCCCCCACTAATTGCTCTTTTTAGCTTCTATAAAATGCTTGGAATGCCCGCCTGCTGCCCCCCCCCCGCCGTTCCCCTTCCAGGAAACTATAGATTACATAAGCCTGGGCATGAACACCGCCCTATAGAGTAAAAATGAAGACTCCTGACCACACAGATGGCAGTCAGCGCATTCCACAGCCCTGAGAATAGCACCCGCCAATAAGAAACCTCCACGGCTGCATCCTGTACACCCAATCAGTTTAAAAGTATGTTGGTGCGCGTGGGTTTCTTGGACCAACCACAATGTGACACCGTTATTCCCTTCTTCCCTTTGTCTCTAACCTATAAAAAGCCCCTTCTCCCCCCACCTGGGGCTCTCAGCACGGATCCATTGTATTGGTGTGGTCTGAGAGCCCGAGCTTGAGCCCAAATAAACCATAAACCTTGCTTTTGCATTTTGGTGTGTTGGGTCCTCGGTGGTCTTCTTGGGGTCCTGTGGATGAGGTACAACATTTGGGGGCTCATCCGGGATC